CAAATAAACTCACCTTATATTCCATCAGAATAAACTCATCACTTGCGGCATGAACTAATCTGGAAATAAAGGATTCTGCCATATCTTTTTGTGATTGATCCCCGTTAGTGAGGGATAATATACAGGGACAGTTAGCTTTTTAAGTGCTAGTATTGTAAGAGTGCTAAATGACCTAAATTTATTAATCTCGGGAATCTTTAAGGTGTTTAAACATATGTGTTTTTCCATTTGATGACTTTCAAATATTTTTTTGTCATTCTGGTTAAATTAGAACAAGAATACCTCGTAGTCCTACTTTATTATATGATGTTAAACTTCCTCCCGATAATACAATTGATGTGCCGTTTAATAATCATAACTAATCTATTAGAAAAGAGGGAAAAACGTTTGTTAGCTTTCTAGAAATTATTGCGAGAACTCCAAAATTAACACCTCTAATTATAGATGATTAGAGAAATTTTGAGTACGAACAAAAGAAGAAATTGGTGAATTTTTTAAGGGTATGAGTTAGTATTATTATTTTCTAAATAAACTCAGTATGTCTATGATATCATCTTATATATATATATATATATATGTTGACTTTTTTTTTGCAGAAGAAGTTCTCTTTTCTAAAAAACGGAGAACCGTTTGTCTTAAAGTCACAAGGAAATAAATGAAAAGACTACAATTGTGAAATCAAAGGTTATTATATGTCAAAATATAAAACTAAAGACTCTTTGCTGAAAAATAAGTCAAATCTCATTGGAGATAAATGGATTGATATAGTGTGTTATTACCTTTCTGATAAAGCAAAAGTATAAAAAAAATCTTGAAACCATACCTTGTTTATTATTTTAACTCTGTGTTAATTTTAGTGATAGAACATTTTCTTAATAACTTGTAAGATAGTATTTCAATACTTCAACAAGAGAGGCGTACCCACACAAATAGAAACAATAGGGCAATAAAAAGATGCCTCACACAAGAGGATCCAAAAGTAATGCTACATTGATGCATGAGCAGGTAAATCTATGAAATGTATTTTCAAAGAATTTTTTTCAAGCATATCTCGCATCAATTTTACTGCTTAGGCTGAAAATGGAATAGAGCATACACGAGCAAAAATTTTCTAATTAACTCATACAACATGTGGATCTGATGAATTGAAATTATGAGGAGTTGCAATCAGAATTACTCAAAATGAAACAATTGATAAAAAAGTATGCTCCTAATTAATCTCTTCCTCAAGATATCAATGACACTTCAAATGAACAAGTATCTCAAAACTATTAGAAATTTTTTATAATATTTTAATCCTATTAAAGGATTGTTAACTAATGCCTTCAAACTTAAGGATCCCAACCATAATAGTTGTAACACCCCGTCTCTAAAATAGACAAGAAATCAGCTTTTCAGATATCTGCAGGTGCAATCGATGGTTACCATCGATGGACCATAGCCTGACCCACGACCCTTACACACATGTGTCATTTTTTACTGAAACTCTCCCAAAATGAAGCCCAAAAATTTGAGAAAGTGTCAAACGACGGACGAACCTTAGTTTGTGTCCCTCGATTAAGACCCCATTTATCCACTCTCTGACAAGGACCCTGATTGACCAGTATGGTCCGTAGATGGACCTAGGTGCTGTAGATATGACCGTAAGTGAAAATAAGCAGAACAGTTAGGTGACAATGCATTTGGGTCAACTTCAATTGATCATAAGTCTTAGGAAAAAAAAATGAGGTGTCCATTGACCTATGAAATTATAAATAATTAAATTATCTTTCCATATCAACCAAGTTTGCTAAAATCAGACCTCCAAGTTAAAAGTTAGCTCGTTTTACTAAAGTCTTGTCGAATAGATCCAAGCTACGGGACCCAAACGATTGACCATCGAATGAAGGATGGCCAGTCAGTCTAGGTTGTTGTTTGGTCCGACAACAATTAACTAAGGGGTCTTTTGGTATTTACCGACTTTGTTTAAACCCTAAGATACGTCGTTTTGACCCTAAATCATCATATTTAAGTCAGTTTAAGCATACAAACATAACTAAAACTTACCTATGTCAAATCATTAAAACAAAACACAGAAAATTAGAAGCAAGAAACGAGAAAAAGGTAAAGAACTGTAGTTCAAGAACGTAGCAAGGTTCCATCAGTTCTAGCCCCAAAATCTTAATATTTCTCCGTGTATTTCATCATTAGGTTTATGGGATTTCACCAGTGAGTTCTTTTCTCCCATTAGATCCCTAGTTTTCAGTCAGTTCTTGATTCTTTTATCGTGATTAAACCTAGGGTTTCTAGAATTACAACATATCATCATAAATAAGTTAAATATATGTTCCAAATAACATTGTAAAGTGATTATTCAGTTTGTCACAGGAATTTCAGAACCCTAGCTATGTATTTCTTTAGTTCTTGAATTAGGTAAGATATTTCAGTTACTTCATATAATCATGTCTCAGTTATAAATGCATAATTACTTGATTAATTGTTGCATTCACAGTTTGCATTTTATGTTTTAAGCTATCCAGTAGTTACAGAAACTCAGTCATCAGTTAATTACATAATTTATTGGGTGTAACATAATATTGAGTTGGACTAGGGTTCACCGTACCGAATAAGTTCCAAAACTACTAGCCAAGTAGGTTGTAAGTCCCCTCTGTGGTCAATCATTTTAGTGATCACGCCAGCATGCCTTTATACTTCTTGCGGGGTATATTGAGTCCTCTCGGTGGGGCATATACATTGGACTCCACATAAAGCTCATGTGGTTTTATTATCGCTTATTAGTAGCTCCCATAGTTCAGTCATACTCTATTGCGTAGACCATTTATCAGTATATTCAGTATTCACTTCCAGCATGTTATAAATTGGTCATTTCATTCAATTACCTCAGCATTCAATATATTATGTTAAGATTATTATACTTGCTTTTGTGCTTGTTCAGTTATGTCTTATTTTAGATTTACTATATCTTACATGCTCAGTACCTTCAAGTACTGACGCATACGTGCACTACATCTTCTCCTGATGTAGGTTCAGGTTCACAACATCGAGATCACGAATAGATCGATTTTCAATCTCCAGTTCAACAGATTTAGTAGTGAGTCCTCATTCTCCGAAGACAACTGTCATGAGTCCATTTTAGTCTTTTAGTTATTTAGTTTAAATTTTTTTCTTGACTTATCTAGGCTTGTCCTAGCATTTTTATTCAGTGAGGGGCTTATTTCAGACATAGTTAGTTTCAGCTTAGTATTGAGTTAATATTTCCTTTGTATTAAACTCATCGTTTTAAAATATTTCAGCTATGGAATATGGGTATACCCCATCATTTCAGTTTAAATTATAATTTAGCTTCTGCATTGAGTTTATTATCTTTAGTATGCTAATGATCATGCTAACAAGGTTAGCATGGGATCACTTGTGGTCCTAGGTTCTGTGTCCACGTCTTTAGGGGTAGTTTGGGGTGTGACTTTAGTGGTTAAGAAGAAGTACTTCAATCATCAAGGATATCTAGTAATGTTGAAATTACTCTACCTCATGGTACTATTCATCTTTATCATTCGATGTTACTGTTTGTCTTTTCCTGCTTTGTAAATACTGCGTTGAAAGGTAGATTTCAAGAGACAAAAACTAATCAGGAGAGCATGTGAACTCAATTATTTTGGATGTGAGTTGTTATATGTGAAATGGTGAAATGCTATTCTAAATAAGTTTTTTTTGTCTCATTGTGACCTAATCTTGTTCTAAAATCTAGTTGTATCTATGTCTTGTTTTGCTCGAGTTTATTTGATGTTCATTTGGTTTTATTTTTTAATGCACTAAGTGTACATTTATATTTTTTGTGAAGGATTGTGAAGGAAAACAATGCACTAATCCCCACAACCAGCCCTGTCTTTACATACTCTTAATTATAACAATAAGTTTGTTGTTGTTGTTGTTGTAAAAACACAATGGAGACTTTTTTGTACGTAATGTTATAATAATTGTGCATTTCCACATGTGTCAGATTTGTTTCTATAAGTACTATAGTTCAGTCATAACTATATCTGAAGCACCAAGTTGGTGCTGCAAAACCTTTACAAATCTTTCTTCTTAAAATTTCTAGTTTTGGTTCATATTTATTGCGTACATGATGATGAATCTGGTAAGTTGTTAGGTTCTCAAGTTCACATTTCTTCAAAAATTCTACAAAGCACCTAGAGGTGGTTAAGCAGTATAATGGCTTTAGGCATTGTCGTATCTGTCACATAAAGAAAAATATAGTATAGATATTTTTATAGTTTTACCACCTTATTATGATAATATGAGATGATTCATTGTTCAATCCTCCTTTCCTGCTTAAAACTATTACACGTTTTTCAAATATCATCTTACAAGCTTGTATAGGTTTCACTCTTTCAACCCACAAACAAACATTCATTTCCTGATTGTGTATCACTCTGGTGGCTTTCACAAAAAAATATGTTTTGTGCATCTTATATTATGACTAATTCTAACCTCAAAGGCAACAACTTTGTCACTAATCTAATCATTATATATACTTATATTTTGAGGTACAATGAGTGCAAATTATCTAAGTCATTTCTATTCACTTACTTGTTACGTGTCTTCCATATCTGATACACCACGACAGCTAATGCTTTGACTACCAGGTCTCTGCAGCATCTACCTATTGTGGATCTAGTCAGCCTTATCCATATTTCCCTATAATCTAGTAGTCTTGTTCCTTTTCCAAGGCACTGAAGTCATCTAGTTGGCTCCATATTCCCCGTAAATTGTCTTCACTATATATAAGCAGAACAAAGAGAATGAAGATGCCAAAGTAGGATCACTTTCAATTTATTCTTCTATTTGTACAACCTGCATGGACCCACTTTTTACAATTGCTTCCTTTTCAGAACAGATAGTAAAAATAAATGTTCAACACTGTTCCTTGTACATCTCCACATAGTAGGCATTTATCATCGTGACATTCAACATTATATAGAGGCTCTCTTTGGTAAGTAATCTTCCGTGAAGGGCTAACCAACAAATAAAGTTGTTCATACGAAGAATTCCCTTACACCAAATTCACAAGCCCACTGTTCACTCTTCAAACTCGCATCTTCTCCATGTATATCTTCTTTCTATCTTGTAGCTGCCCTCAGGTTTAAGACCATCCATTCTGGTTGTATCCTAGTGCAATTTTATCTTTAATATAACATATCTTTTTCCAATACGAATAACTATCCAATGGAATAGCATATTGCAACCAGTCCCTTCCCTTTATCATGCCAAAAAGAGTGCAGGAATTATCGTTGCAGCAGACTTGCTGTGTACTACTGCTAATTGAAAATCATAAACTTGCAGATTTCTTCTCCACATGATATTGAATTATCTAAATCGAGCTTACTTGTAATTTTTCAGATTACTGATACTACTTGAAATATGTTTATACTTTGAATTTCATTTATTGAAAAGTTTTTTTCTTATTTCAGGTTATACAATTTGAAGTTCGCAAACTTCCTCTGTGGGTGATTTCGAACACATTATTCAAACAAGAGTAACAAAACTTATTTGAATATATTATTCAATAGTTTTAGCAATTTGAGTTGTGACCGTCTATTTTGGATCAGTACTACCTTTTGTTTGTGTAGATTTAAAGAGATACATTTTATTTTATGGATTAATAGTAATATATATGCTTTCTCAGCTAGAGAAAATTGTTGTTACTATGAGTCTCCCTTTGCAAATGTGTTTGTTGGATTTTTATATATACGTGTTATCGAGAAATGTAGGAGATATTATTTACAGAGGATAAACAATTGTCGTTAAATGTTATAATATTTACCGGCAATTCAATGGTAAAATTTAATTGCCATTAAAACTATAACCTTTTATCAACTATTTATTTCGATTTATCGACTAAAACTATGGACACTAAAGGACCACATATAGACAATATGAATTACCTTTAGAAGCCAACATACTTTCCGCCAAACAATCGCTTACCTTTTAGTGGTTATTTATTTTTAGATTTATCGACTAAATCAACAGACGCTAATAGATCATAGTTAACCTACATGCATTACCTTTAGAAGCCAACAAATTGTCGCAAACAATACAACTTTTAAAGAATGAACTTCTTAACTTAAATGTCAAATTATAATAATGCCCCCAACTTAAAACACAAAATGTGGTATATATTCTATATTCTATATTGTATCATATTTATTTATGTTTATAATATTATATTATATTTTCTCAAAGACAATCTAACATTGAAGGGTTGTTCATATCAAAGAATTATAATGTTTTGATTAATTATGATATTTTGAAGGGTCGTGACTTTTCGTAACGGTGACAACGTTACTGAAGAGTTATATCTATTCTAATGAGTTGTAACTTTTTTTGAAGAGTTGTAACTTTTCTAAAGGGTTTTGAATCCCTTTTTATAAGGCACATTATAAAGTTTCTCATACACTTTTCTTTGTTAACTGTAAAAAGAGGGGTTTCCTCAAATTTTTAAACTATGGGGAAGGGAAGAGAAAGTATTTTTAAGACGTGCAACTAAGAGATCTTGAGGGTTACTTATTTTTTATTTAATAATAATCAAATTAATTTAAAAATAGTTTGGTGGTAATATACATACATACATACATACATTTACACATACATACATACATATATACATACATACATACATATATAAATATATATATGTACGCACACACACACACACACAGATATATATATATATATATATATATATATATAACAACCTTAATTTTATTGAGGACTTAATTTTTAGGTTATATTTTTACTCTCTATAACATTCTACTTATAACAATGCTAAAATTATTTATAGACATATACTTTTTGTAAAATAATATCTCTATGATAGCCTTAAGGTGTATCACAAAGATTTGTAGAAGATATAGCATGAGTAAATAAAAAAAATTACTATACATATGATAATCATTAATAATGTGATTCACCTATCATATTTCAAGTATTAATATATTAGAGAAAAATTGTACTTAAATTGTGTTCATCATATATAGTAATAACTTCATGAGGAAAGAGTACTTGTGACGCTTTTTATATTGATATTATTTTTCTATTTTGATGGTTATTATTTTTTACTAAATTGAGTAAAGAAAAAAAAACAATATTACTAATGAAATATCACTTTATCCCCATAATTATATTGAATGTATTTTGAAATATATCACTAAAATCGGGTCATTTTGGGCTAAAAACAACTAGGTCTATGACAATTTGTATTAATCATTTAAAATCACTTGAATTCTATTCATTCAATTTATGATTATTTACTAAAAAGGTTTAATTTTAGTAATATTATTTCTATTTTAAAATATTTTATGCTATATAATATGATATGCATATGCAACACACATGTTGTAAGTCTAGTTGACATTAAAAGTTTGACCTTGTAGAGGCTATTTATTTATATTTATCTAATAAATCAATGAATGCAAAAAGAGAATAGTTAGGCAGTATGAATTACCTTAAGCAGCTAACATAATTGCCGCAATCAAGTGGTGTAAAAGCTAATGGTTAAGCAGATATTCATACTATCCTTTAGCAGCATTCCCAATGACTGCAAAAGCCTATGCCGACCCCTAAATTGTTGGGTAATATTCATCGGACGGTATAGAGTATTGTGGTAAATGTTATTGCAGCAAAAACAATATTTTATTGCCGCAAAAGAGTTCTTTTGTAGTAGCGATGGCATCAATGCAAGTAAATAGTGTTAAAATATATTGAATTTAGATATTGAATTGGACTCAGTTGAAGATTCTCTTAAAATAGGTCAAGGCTTGAAGAAGTTGAGATGGAATCCAATTCAAATTATTTTGAGCAGAATCCTTAAAATCCAGGGTGAATTAGGTGGGTTATCTATAGTTGGACTCATTTTTTACACCCCTAATAATGATAGAATCAACTCTTTACTCTTAAAACTCACCCTAACCATTGTCCTCTATTACTTACTTTGTTCAAGAAAAATATCTTCAAAAAAGAGAGTATATTTATATTAGCATCTATATGTGTGTCTCACATCCAAACTTTATCAAAATTATTGATACACTTTTAAGGATATCCCGTTACTAACAAATTTCATTTGATCTTTTAAGGACATGAAAGGTACTTTTGGGAATATTTACAACAATATATATATATATATATATATATATATATATATATATATATATATATATATATATATATATATATATATATATATATATATATATATATATATATATACTAT